GGGTCTTCGGTGGCAGGTCCCTCAGTCCGTCTCGGAGGGAAGGACCGGTTGCTGAATTGCCGCCGAAGAATGAAGCGGCACGGTAGAGCTGCCGCTGAAGTGCCACTGATTGCGGCTTTATATATATATATATATATTTTGCTTGGGGCGGCAAAAAAGCTGGAGCTGGTCCTGACTGGGCCACTCAGGAAAATTAATCTGAACTAAAGGTGTGAATTTAAAGTGGATTAGTGAAAACACATTAAATCCCAGTGTGGATGCTCTTATTCAGCATTCAGTTTGGAAGTGAATTAAGGTAACTTTAATCCCCTGTGGGAGCACTCTTATTCAGAGTTAATGCAGTTAACTAAACCACCAAACTAATTCAGATTAACTTTTCTGAGTGTCCCCATGTAGACAAGCCCTCATTTAGATCAGTGTCCTGCCACCAGCATAGCAGATGTACTGCAGGGCTGTGAATGGGTTTCCAAATGGCCAAGGGGTAATAGATATTACTAGAGATGGGCCTGAGCCAAACATCCCCAAACTCTCGGGTATATTTAGAATCTAAACACAGATCTAGATCCAACTTTGCAGTCAGCCTGATCTCTACAATGGGCCAAGGCCCAGGGTCCTTGGCCACCTGACACCCTCTGCAATCTAGATATGTGGCACCTTAGCACCTACACCCTTCAGTCTGCCTCTTCGAACCATTTCTTCTCACCTACAATCCCTCCCTCTCTGCCTTGCCTTGGGTTTGCTTGTCCTGTCTCATTGAGCCAGAAAGCTCTCCAGCTCAGGGGACGTGTCTTATCTGTGTTGTGCAAAGCCCTGGGGAAAGTGACAAAGTGTTTTGTAATAACTGTCCTGTCAACCAGAAGATTTGTACCCGAGCTTTGTGCCCATGGCCCCTTGCTCTGGGGGGTGTGGAGACAGCAGCTCATAGCCACAAACAGCCAGTGCAAACCAGAAGGGCTTTTGAATCAGAGAGAGGGAGGGCGGAGTAGAAGTTTCAAAGCTGGACAGCAACAGGTGGCTGAGCCAGGAACCCCCAAGGATCAGAGAAGGAACAGCAGCTGAGGTTGTATTAATTCCCTCCAGTCCAGTGAGTAAGGTGAGCGTTCAGATAGGCACCTTTACTGCAGCTGCTGCACGAAGGAGTCTCAGGAGTCCCTTGGTAAAACTCCATCCGAACCTGAACGGGGAGGTCGGGGGGGGGGTGTGTCTCCCTACGTGCTCTAGAGCCCCAGCTGCCCTGGACACCGCCTCGCCAGAGAGAGGACAGAGTGAACAGCCCTGCTTAGCAGAGCAACCGGAAAGCACCAAGAGTTTGTTGTGGGAAAACCTCGGTCTGCTGCAGGGTCATCACCCCCCCTCCTGCGACCACCACCCCGGTGACAGTGGGCTGTTGGATCCCCTACTTAGGGTTACCATACATCCGGATTTTCCCGGACATGTCCGGCTTTTT